TACGCAGGAAAAAAAGCAGATTAAGTAAAAAAAAAAAAAATTAAACATAGCAATAGTGTGCACTGCGCTTACTGTACTTCTGAAATCTAAAATCTAATAGATCTGGCTTACAGTTTCCAACCCATCAGGCTATGATAACTAAAGGGAAATAATGCGGTCCGTCTGCTCATTACAGGACTCCATATTATCTACCTGTAGGTGTCTCATTTAGGCCTGAATAAACTAGCCATTGTAGCCTTTTCAGGATTAGACCTCAAAGCAGGTAGTTCTTTACACTTTGTTTTAATTATCGGTGGGGAGGGCATAGTGAATTAACACTTTCCTGTCCCTTTTCCTACTTTATATGCAATCTGTTCGGTGTCTATGCTAAGCCATGGTTTCTACACTGGAGAACACGTTAGCCATCAAGCAGAGGAAGATGCAAGGTAAGATACACATAAAAGCAGAACAGAATTCCTGCAGAAAGAGAACTCAGTCCAAAATGATTCTTACAGAAAAATATCACTGTAATACAATGTATTCAAGATGGAAGTTAGACCTCCTGAAAGGTAGTTTGGAAAGAAAATAAATAAGAAAGTAGAAATGAATCTGCACCAGAAGGAATTGTCGGCCAGGCTCAGTAGGCTATATAGATAAGCATTAGTAATTTTGTGCATTTCAGAAGACTCTGAGCTGATCCTGCTCCTCCCAAAGAAAACTACCACCAAACCAATATGAAGGAAATGAACCAGAAGGAAACATGCGTTTGTCACTACAAAATGCACGTTGCTGTACAGTTGTTACATACCAACAGCACTGATGTTTACCTGTGGTTGGAGACTGACCCACAAGTGCCATCAATGCCTGCTGGCTTATTCCCACCTGTGTCCCCCAGCAGGTATTATGGCAAGCGTAAGGTGGCTTCTGCCTGCTCAGTCACAGGCACTGGATTGTCTATAAGTAGAGGGTGTGTGTTTTACTTCCCTCCCACAGTCTATTTGCAGTCTATGTATCTGATGTGTCTCATCTTACAAAGATGTTAGATTAAAATCCTGATGTAAACTATGACTTGTTAAAACAAGTTAAAAAAAAAAAAGTTACATGTGTTATCCATCAAACCCAGCTCCTCCCCTGACCGACAGCAGCATGCTGGATGAGATGGCTGTTTTGGTTTTGTTTTCCGCAAAGAAGGCAAGGTTCTTTGATTCTGAAGGACAGAAAAATGAGAAGGTTGAGAAACGTTGTCTTAAACTTAGAAAAGAGCCATGGGAACCGTTACATAGGAAAGAGAGCTTGGTGCAAAATTTACAGGTCTGTAGTTCCAGCTAGATGGTTTTTAGGTTTTGAGGGTTTTTTGAGGCTAGAGACAGTATGTGCTGTGCTTACTTCGCTTTCAGTTCAAGGAAGTCTTTTTTTTTTTTTTTTAATTTATTAAGGAACAACCGCCTGATTTTTGGTTATTTATTACAATTTAATTTATTTGTTTATTCCAGGATTTTCTTTCTTGGTACCTCAGTCTCTGATAATGTTTTCATGCATTCCTGTTTTGTTTAGAAATCTTAAGTATTTCTTAGCCATTTCTTTCAAATTTAATAAAAATTTGAAATAAAACTTCAAATAATTGTTTTCACATTTCTCCTGTGTAATAGCCGTATTATTAGTTCGTTGTTTAAGGATGTGCTCAATAGTGTAAGTGTAAGTCAGCTTTCATGGTACAAAACTCTCCTGTGTAATAGCCGTATTATTAGTTCGTTGTTTAAGGATGTGCTCAATAGTGTAAGTCAGCTTTCATGGTACAAAATATTTGTGTGATTTGTGTGGATAAACTGTTACAATTATGTTGTGCTGACTTCAAGAACCATTGTGGGAGAAGTACATGAATAATGTATGTAAGGTAGATTAACCCTGGCATCTGTGGGAGATGGGCAGACAGAAAGGGAAGTGATTAGATGAGTAATACTCTGCTTTCCATGTCACTGTAAATTAGCATTGGGTAGCTTTCTCATGTCTTTGCCCACATGCCTTTGATATACCCAAAGATCAAATTACTTTTTTTTGTTTCCCTGTTCATAGCAAGTTTTCTTACAGAATGTGAGACAGTTCATGTATAAAAATGAATTAAAAATAAACAAATACAGTATTTTAGTCTGCCAGGTGTGAAAAATAATGATCTTAGGGGTGCAGGCAAGTGAGCCACTTCACAGGGACTGGTTTATGTGCTGCTTCTACCAGATGGTACACGTGAGGCAGTTCCTCTTCAAGCAGGTCACCAAGGCAGATAATCCATAGCATAAATAGTGTCCTCTCTTCACTGTCTGAGGAAAAATAATAGTAGTAATAGCCATTAGAAGAGAATGAAGTTAAAAAAAAAAACAAACAACTTTGACATTGCATTCATCTTGTTCCTTCCAGTAGTATTGTCTGTGGGCTGGAAAAGGTTGTAGACCACTAGATTATATCCTGCTGTTTTTGAATGCATCATGTGGAATTCCCCTGTGGAACTGGAAGGTAATGGGTTTGAAAATAAACAGCTTTAAGAAAGGAGATATCTCTGTAGCTGAAACAAGAGATTTTTAATAGAAGACTATTACTACCATCTTTGGGATAGAATGTAATTCACATTTTTGTTTCACATCTTCCTCTCCTCTCCAATAGGTGGAAATAAGTTGCTTGACTGAAATAAGGTTGTGTACCTGTGTGTTTATATACATATGTATGTAATTTACACCTTTTTGAACTTTTGTTTTGAGTTGGTGAAACCTGTGGTCACTATTCTTCTTGCAGAAAAGAATTTCATAATCCAAATCTTAGTCCTGTGGGAAGTCTAATATACCTGGAAGTCCCCTGATAGCCCATCATTTGCTTGATCTCACAGCATCCTATACTAATAATTAAAGGGTATCAGTGATGGCTGAAGCTAATATTGAGGACTTTCCAGTATCAGGGTATGCTTTTAGTTTTTGTTTCCACAGAGGAGGCAGGGAAGGTCCTGCTTTCATATGGGTGGGTGTTCACTATCAAATTTTTTTTTTCATGTGCCAGTATGAACAGTTCAGTCAGATGACTGAAACATAGTTTGATACAGTAAATATGATCAGCTGGATAGTGTATCGTGAAAATTTCAGGTTTTGTTCCTCCAGTGCTCTCCAACCTATAAAGGCTGAAAATGATGAAGAACAATTTTTAAAGTTTTTAGAGTTGGGTGAACATTTCTTTTTACTGCTACTGTGTCTGAGAAAACACCTGAAGTATTTAAGTCCTCCTGAGGCTGACTAATACAATACAGGAATGATAAAATCATAGAATCATAGAACAGTTTGGGTCAGAAGGAAACTTTAAAGGCCATCTAGTCCAGCCCCTCTGCGATGAGCAGGGACATCTTCAGCTAGATCAGGTTGCTCAGAGCCCTGTCCAACCTGACCTTGAATGCTGCCAGGGATGGGGCACCTACCACCTCTCTGGGCAACCTGTTCCAGTGCTTCTCCATGCATTGATCCTTCTTAGGGTTGGTTGTTTATTAAGGAGGGAAAATTAATTACTTGTATCCTCCCTGTTGTGCGGAAGGCGTGGGAGAAGGAGGAATGCTTCATGGCCCATGAACTGAGTTTCATACTACATGTTATTAAAGGTCATTCTGTTGATGGAAAGTGTTTGCTGTCTGATTCCCCCCTCCCCCCCCATGTGATACAAGTGTTTGGGTGCCTGTATTGGGTTTACATGGCAGGATTTTGGTAATAGTGGGGCTGCAGGGGTGGCTTCTGTGAGAAGACACTAGAAGCTGCCCTCATGTCAGACAGAGCCAGTTCCAGCTGCCTCCAAGATGGACCCACCACTGGCCAAAGCCAAGACCATCAGCAATACTGGTCATACCTCTGTGATAACAGTTAAGAAAAGGTAAAAAAATGCCCCCTTTTTTTTTTTTAGGGAGTGCAAAACATGTTAGAGAAACAGTCCTGCAGACACCAGGGTCAGTGAAGGAAGGAGAGGGAGGAGATGCTGCAGGTGTTGGAGCAGAGATTCCCCTGCAGCCCATGGAGAAGACCATGGTGAAGCAGGTTGTTCCCTTGCAGCCCGTGGAGGACTTCACACTACAGCAGGTGGATGTGCACTGAAGGAAGCTGCAGCCCATGGAGAGCCCACACTACAGACCAGGGTCCTGGCAGGAACTGTGGCCTGTGGAGAGGAGCACAGGCTGGAGCAGGGTTGCTGGCAGGACCTGTGACCCTGTGGGGAACCCAAGTTGGAGCAGTCTGTTCCTGAGGGATGGCACCCCGTGGAAAGGACCCATGCCAGAGCAGTTCGTGAAGAACTGCAGCCCGTGGGAAGGACCCATGTTGGAGAAGTTCGTGAGGGATTGTAACCCATGGGAGGGGACCCAGGCTGGAGCAGAGGAAGAGTGTGAGGAGGAAGGAGTGGCAGAGATGAAGTGTTTATGGACTGACCACGCATCCCATTCCCTGTTCACCTGTGCCACTGAGGGAGGCTGGGGGAGGAAGTAGGAGAGTCATGAGTGACTCTCATGGGGCATGGGGGAAAGGTGGTTTTAGTTTTGTTACCATTTCTCACTATCCTACTCTGTTATTAACTGGCAATAAATTAATTTCCCCAAGTCAAGTCTGTGGCAGTAATTGGTGAGTGATCTCCCTGTCCTTATCTTGACCCATGACCCATTTCATGAGTGTTTTCTCCCCGTGTCCTACTGAGGAGGAGGGTGATAGAGCGGCCGGGTGGGCACCTGGTGGCCAGCCAGGATCAACCAACCGCAGTCCTAAATATGTTCATGGCTATATGGAGATCTGCAGGAAGAGTCCAGTTGTTTTACAGTATGTTTTTTAGGGAGTCGCATGCACTTCCACACCAGGTTCATCTTCGGTATGTAAACAGAGCCCCCTCAGGAACCATTTTTCTCTGCTAATCTTAACCCCAAACAATTGTCCTAAAGAGGAAGAACTAGAAGCTGAAGGAGAAATGTAATTGTTTTACTTTGCCACCTAAAGGCAGGTGCAATAATGAGGCAGATTGCTGTATTAACCTCTTTATTCTTCCAGGCTTGTGATACTGTTTTGAGCGTGTTTCTTATAGAGAAATTCCCTTTGTCTCTTTTGGAATTGGAACGTGCCACAGAGTTAATTGTGAGAATATGCTTCAATTTACTGAGTTATTGCTACCCTTTTGCTCCTTCCTTCCCTGACCATTTTTTCACACAGAGGAAGCAGAAGACCCTGAAGTGACATTTGCTCAAAGTTTTGGTGTCTGGGAGAGATAGCTTATCCTGTTCGATTGCTTCAGGCTAGTTAGTGCACTGCCTGAGAAGAAATGTAGCATGTGTGTTTCTTATACTTGGCTGTGCTTTATTGGAGGCTTACAGGGCATGGTGGATAAGCAAGCTATGTATTCCATAATGGAGAGATGGATGAAATAGAGTAAAATGGTTGGATGAGGGTTG